CATTTTTTGTCTTGTATATGAAGTTTTTGAGACTTTGTTGTGGTAAATATTCAGGAGTTTGACAGTTTCTTTGTGTTCATGTTTGCGGTTTGACGTCATGGCCAGTGGTCGGCTAGTTCCAGCGGTGTGAGGACGAGCCACTGGCCAGTTGTCGTGTTTACAGGTGTGTTGTAGTGAAGCGGACTGAGCAGCTCTTATTGTGGAGGTCCGGCAGGTGGACCAACAGGTTTGTGGTCTGATGAAGCATTTCTGGGATTCCTGAGTCCAAGTGGCTGCTGGTCACATGATCAGGATTGGCCAATGAGCTGCCAGATAGCAGCACCTGGCAGGTAAGGTGCTGCTCAGGTGGATGCTCTGGTTTTAACCAGACACAAACAGAAAATATCTCAACCAGCTGCAAGCACACAGTTCAGACGGTTTCCATTTAGAGATGACTAACAGTAGTCAGGTTAATATGAGTGTTGATATTCATGTTTATTAGCTTTAGTGTTAATATTCATGTTTATTAGCTTTAGTGTTAATATTCAGGGTTTTTATTCCCTTTGTCTGTTCATTTTGTGAATCTTTTCTGTTTCTTTTTCCACCATCGTGTTTATTTCCTCGTTCTGTCCTGTCATGTGACACGCTGCTGCGTCCTGATTGGCCGATTCCAGAACAGTCAGAATAAATCACAGTCACTGGCTCCGCCCCCTCCTCCCTCCTCCTGACCTCACTGGTTTTAATGGACTGACTGGTGTGTGTGTGTATGTGTGTGTGTGTGTGACCTACTTTCCCAGCTGAGCAGAAGTAATGTGGTTGACATGCGTGTCAAAACGCACACGCTCTGGGAGGCCAATTACTCCGTCAATTCATCGCACACACACACAGACACACACAGACACACACAGACACACACACTCAGTGATGCTCGACATTCGGTGTTTCCTTCCTTATGTCCTTCTCCCTTCCTTCTTTCTTTTTCCTTCCTTCCTTCCTTCCTTCCTTCCTTCCTTCCTTCCTTCCTTCCTTCCTTCCTTCCTTCCTCCCTCCCTCCCTTCCTCCCTTCCTTTCTATTTCCTCCCTTCTTTACTTCTTTCCACCCTCCCCTCCTTTCTTCCTACCTTCCTTCCCTGTTTCCTTCCTTCCTTCCTTTGTTCCATACTTCCTTCCTTCTCTGGTTCTAACTGATTCTGTCTGGTTCTCTGGTTCTGACTGGTTCTGTTTGGATCTAACTGGTTCTGTCTGGTTCTGTCGGTCACATTCGGAGTGGAAAAGCTCCCTGTAACACATCCTAACACATTAGCATGTACGCTATGTGTGTGGTAGCAGACTCCATGCTAACACTTTTGCATAAACTAGCCCAGTGCTAACAAAATTAATAGCATATTGACATACATAAAAGATGACATCGTCAGTTTTTGTGCTAACACGTTAAACTTCACTATGTTTACTCCATGCTAGCACAATAGCAGGCAGTATGTCGTGTGTTAAATTCTATGCTAACACTGGCATAGACTCTAAGGAATGACAGTGAGCTCAATGCTAACATATTAGCACTACCGCCATGTTCGTGGTGGCAGACTCCACGCTAACTCTCTAGCATTTTATCCTTACATGCTAATGTTTTGGCATGAAATAAGACTCAGTGCTAGCCTGTTAGCATTTATGATCTTGAATGGCAACTGGCACATGCTAGCACTTTGCTACACAGCAGCATTCAGTACACTGGCTGATACATGTTGTACAGGTTAGCTTTCATATTGGCCAGCATGTTGTGTGTTAGCTTGGTGCTACGTAGCATGCTGTGCTAACGCTCCACTGGGAATTATTTTCACATTTTCCTTGTTTTTCTTTGTATATCCTGTGTCTTATTTTGTATTTTTGTGGTGGACTTCCTGTGATGTTGTCGTGCCGACACCCCCCCACCCCCCGCTGTTTAAAGCTCTTACATAAGGCTCAAATCCATCAGAGGACAGATGACAGCAACACACAGCAACACACAACACGCAGCAGCAGCAGCAGCACACGGCGTTCACGTGTTCAAACGCACACATGTGGGGCAGCATGACGTAAACAGGAGGAAACACACTGAACACCCTGAATGTCAACCTGAAGTTAACCTGAAATGAAAATGAAATCAAATTCAAGTTAACCTGAACTTAACCTGAAGTCACTGCAGACGCGTCTTTACTCGGTTTTGTCAGTCGTGGCTTCATAGTTGTGCGACGAGTGTGAAATATTTTGTTTGTTCACCCATCATGGGTCTAACATGCTAAGTTTTCGGCACATTTTTGATGAAACGTGTGGAGAAACGTGACTCGGGTGACACGCTGTGACTCGCTGTGACTCGGGTGGCGCTGAGCTCAGGTCAGTTTACTCTCCTGAGGACGAACCAACAGCGGTTCACAGCCTCTGTTGAGTGTAAGTGGATTTATGGACGCTTTGCTTTGACTTCTTAGTGCTTCAATCTCCCCGTTGTTGACTCGCTGATCCGTTGACTCGCTGACTCGATGTGTTGACTCGCTGACCCGTTGACTCGCTGACTCGATGTGTTGACTCGTTGACTCGCTGACCCGTTGACCCGTTGACGGTGGTGTTGTGCTCCAGATCGGTCCAACAGGACGACCTGCTGGGAAACTTCCTCTGAGCTCATTTAAACCACTGAGTTCATAACCAATGATCCGATGGTGGTACCGCACACAGACACACAACAGATACACACAACAGATACACAACAGACACACAACAGACACACAGACTCACAACAGACACACAATGCCATCGTTTTTGTGTCCTTCCTGTAACTGTGTGTCATGTTTCTGTCACTTTGTGCGTCTGTTGGTGTTGTTGTGTGTCTTTGTGTTCCTCTGTGTGTGTGTGTGCACATCTCTAACTTGCGGCGGCGGCAGGTGTGTCGCTACCTGTCGGACAGGTTTAATTAACGGTGACGAACGCACGTCAACACAACCGACACGTGCTGCGAACACAGACACACAAACAGGCCTGGTTATCCAGCTGCACTCGGCAGCAGGAAGCGCTGCGTTCAGGAACAAACCGTCCACATGAGCGTCACGCCTGGATCCTGAGTCCAGCGCAGCGACGTGACACGGCCACAAGGAGGACCTGCAACACGACAGCGTGACACAAGTCCAACACCGAGACACGTCAACAGGACAGTCCACGTTACCACGACAACCATGTTCGGCTCGTTTGTTTTTCATGTTTTGGGTTTTTTTTCGGTTTCATCTCGTTTCTGTCCCGTTTTCTGTTGGACCGGCGGCTTCGGGCCTCGTCTTTGTCGTGTTGCGTCCCGTTGGTGTCGGTGTTTCCGCCCCGTCGCGGCCCGGTTCTCCTCCAGGGTGTCGTGAAGCTGGACCGTCGTGTCGCCGCTCCGACTGGGAACCAAACAGGAAGCAGCTGCGTCAACATCCTGTCGGTGGAAACAGACGCCGTTTGTCAGCCTCAACAATCCTCCTCTGTGCCGCCGCGTATCCTAGCAACCACAACAGCTGGAGCGTGGCCGCGTCTCCGTGACGACGAGAACAACTCTGATTGTGTTTCCGCCGCTCGGCCGAAGCGTTGGGACGCGTCTCTTTGTCGTTGCTCAGAATGATTTTGTGGTTTTGAGGAAAAAAATGTTAAAAGATAATAAAAAAGTGATTTGAAGCAGTTTTCTGGTTTCGTCTGATCAGTAATCAATACGGATCAATGGATCAGCTGATTGTTCTGTCTTTTATGTGATAGATTCTGCAGCTTTCTGTCGGGTTTGTGGTTCTGAGTCTGTTTTAGTTTCTTGGTCAGTGTTGGAGCCTCTGATGGACCAGAACCAGGCGACGGGTCAGTTCTTCACTGCTCCACCTCCAGCTCTCAGCTTTAAATGTGTTTCTGTTGCTTCGATGAAACGGACTCAGGCTGACCAGGTTCCACAGAACCGTCTTTTAAACCCGTTTCTCGTCAACAGAATCGTTTAGTGGTTTTGGACCAATGAAAAGCTGCACCGTGGAGCTTCGGTACAGGTTTTATCCTCCGGTTAACAAGGACGTCACCGATTGGTCGGCGCTGAAACGAGCTGCAGGAGCAGTTCAGTCACATTGTCTGGATAAAAACAGAGCTTGAGGTGTTTTTGAGTCGACGGTCGTCTCGTTTTAAATCATTAATTGGATCGTTTTGTGGTTTTGTGGCCTGAACGCTCCGTCTGAAGCCGACTGGTCGACGTCCAGCCGGTGTTCTGTCACATGAAGACGTTCTAGCGTCGCTGAGCAGAACTTTATCTGGTGATAACTTAAACCTTTTGTTCATCGTTCCCACCTCATGTCTCATTTGTGACTTTTAGTTTCGTCACTTTGAGTCTTTTTGTCGTCGTTTGGAGTTTTATCATCAGTCTGACTTTGATTTCAGTCTTATTTTGAAATTCCATTTCCTGATTTAAGACGTCGACTCACAGCCTTGAATTTGATTTTATAGCTTCAGCCTTTTGATGTAAACTTTGACCTTCATTCTCATAACTTTCATTTCTTCATGAACCGTTTTTCTCTTCGTTGTTTTGACTTTTTGTTCCTGTAAAAAGTCTTTTATCTTTTTTTTTTTTTTTTTTAAACTTTGTCTCCAAATTTATTTCTTCTCATAACTTTGAACGTTGATGTGATCATTTTAGATATTTTTCTGGATACTCTGCTGTTATTTTTCTGTTGTTATTTTATTTTGCTCTCTGGACTTTTGTTCACATATTTAAACTGGAACCCTGTCATTAGTTTTATTCGTCTCATAGAGTTGAACTATAATCTCATAATGTCCGATCTAATTTTTTACTCGTCAAACTTTAGTCAGAACTGAATTCTTGATTAAAATCCTGTAATAAAACGTGGACTTTGTGTGGCGGTCGGGTCCGTTTCTCAGCTCTGGTTCTTGTTTTGTGTTTTTTCCGTCTGCACCTGAAGGCATCGCGGGTTCATGTCTGTTTTTTGTGTGTTTGTTGTGTTACAGATGCGTTTGTGAACAGTCAGGAGTGGACGCTGAGCCGAACGGTACCGGAGCTCAAAGTGGTGAGTTGAAACTGGAAACAGGAACCACCTCTGTTCTGAAGTCTGAACTCTTTAAACAGCGCAAGCTTTTATTTTGGAATTTAAACAGGTTTCTTTATTTAGATTTTAGTGTGCTGCCTTCGAACTTTAATCTTGTAGCTTTGACTTTGGTAGTC